GGACGTGCGCGCACCGCGTGTGCGCGGCGTGTTATCGCGATCGCGACGACGGTCGAGCGTGCGCGCGGTGCGGACGAGGGTTCGGGGGACGGGCGACGCGCGGGCGGGCGATGGATGATGAGTTGGACGACGCGATCGCGCGCGCGTTGGGCGGACGCGAGACGTGGCGGTTCGACGCGCGCGACGCGGACGATGACGCGCGGGCGCTCGGGGTGCTGAAATCGGCGTTCGGGTACGCGGAGTCGCGGGCGTTCGGGGGTGGGGGGGGGGCGGCGACGACGGCGGCGGCGGCGGCGGCGGCGGCGGCGACGGCAGCGGCGGCGGATGGCGGGCAGACGTCTGAGGGTGCTTCGATGCCGCGAAAGATGGTCGAGGAGGTGTATCACGTGCGTTTTCGCGCGTGGGGTGGGCGAGACGTCGCGCTCGGGTGCAGACACGCGTCCGCGCCGGGTTCGGCGACGGTGCGGGCGTTGGCGAGAACGGTGGAAAAGTGGTCGGCGAAGCGCGTGGTGGCGATGCGAGACGTGTCAGGGGTCGAGTGGTCGATGGATGAGAGCGTGGAGGCGTACTTTGCTTCATCCCGAGAGCTCGGACGACCGTACGTCGCGTGGTTTGAGACGGCGTGAGCGCGCGTTGTTAGTCGGACGCGACGCGACGACAGTGTGACTTGAGACGAGGGCGTGTCGCCACATAGCTGCGTGCGCGGCATGCGCCGAACGCTCGCGCTGTGCGCGTTATTCTCGACGATCAGTGCGTTCGCTCGGGCCGAGCCGAACGCGCTCGAGACGGAGTTCTCATTCGATGAAGTGCAAAGAAACGACGACGTGGTCGAATTGCGAGGCAAGTACGAAATCCGAAACGCGGACGCGAACGAGGTCGATCTCGTCGGTCTCGCGCTCAAATTTCGGTTTCCCGGAACCGTTGACGTGCGAGCCGACGATGGCTCTGTCACGAAATCGAAGGCACTCCCGTCGGATTGGCGCGCGTCTTGTTTCTGGAGCTACGTCGAGGGACGGTACAACGGGACAAACGTCTGTCCTTCCATCACGTTCGCCGTGACGTCTCAAGAGTTGGAAGTACGGTTCGTGAACTCGATCAAGTTGTGCCCCGGATGCGTGTTAAGAGGTGATGGCTCGCGCACGTCGTTCGCGGTAAAGCACGTCAAATATTTGCCCTTCGCACGAGGCGTCGCGCCGCTCGAACTCCGAGGCATCGAGCAATTCGTGGACGGACCGCCGACGCCGGCGAGACCCGTCTTTCGAGTTTGCTTCCCCAAAGACGTCGACTTTTCATTCCGCGTGTCGAGTTATCCATCGAGGCAGGATGACGTCGCGTCGTCTTCACAGAAAACGGCGATCATGCCGCTCGGAACGGCGGGCTACGACGCATTTTTGCGCGTATTCATAGACGTGACAAATCGACAAGCGGAGGATTACGACATGTCAAACGTCGTCATCACGTTCCCGTTCGACTGGTCCATCGTGCCCGATGAAAAGCGAGGGAAGGTTCAACAAACACCAGACGATTTCTTCATCCGTTGTCACGGCTCTGGCTCGTCTCTGTGCGACGTCACCGAGGTCGAGCGCTCGCGGGACGGATTCGCCATTCGTTTCAAGAATGGTTTCGCGTTATGTCCGGGATGTTCCTTGCGCGGATCCGGTCCGCAACGATGCGCGTTCGAGGTGTACTCGCCATTTCTCTTTCCCGTCGACATCGAATCCGTCCGCGGCGCCTCCGCGGCGTGCGCCGCGTTGTAACGAACCGCTCGCAACAGACGTCACTCCTCGGCGCGTCATATGATCGACCTCGACGACCCGAATGTTAAAAAACACGTCGACCAAAAGCGCCGATTGCGCGACGCGCACGTGAAGGCGTCGTCGACCTCCACGTCCGAGGCGTGCGCGGTGCGCGGCGTCGCTCCTGGGAACCGCGCGGTGAAGAAATTCATCGTTCTGGACCTGGGACGCCCGATTCCGCTCGAACACGACCCGTGGACGTCGGGAGACGCGTTCGAGATCGAGTTCGAGCACCAGGGTGCCGTGGTGCGACGCTCGTTGGGGGAGTTGAGGAGCGCGAACGGTGGGAAGTGGACGGAGTTTGAGTTGCGGGCGTGGAACTGCGTCACGGGATGGTCGTTCGCGGACGGATTAAAGTTCAATGGCGTTGGCTTAGACGTGGTACTGAGGTGTGCGTTCGGTGAGAATTTAAAGTTTGAGTGTCTGTTTCAGACAGGCGCGGATGGGTACACGACGAGCGTGGACGCGAGGGATTTGGACGGCGCGTTTTTGGCGGTGACGGATGAGAGTGGAGAGATGGTCTCTCGAGAGCACGGCGGGCCGAGACTCGTGTTTCCGACGTTGTTCGGTTGGAAATCAGCGAAGTATTTAAAGAGTGTGACGCTGCGAGCGTACGAGGGTGGATTTTGGGAGAAGTTGGGATGTCATCGTCGCGGACGTTGGGCGCTCGATGAACGATGGGCGAGCGGGACGTCGTCGCGCGTTTGGACGGCTCTAGCTTGGCTCACGAATCGCTATCAAATCTTCGGCGATGGGATTTGGATTTGGGTCATGGTGGTCGGCGGCAAGGTCCTCGGCGCCATCGCGTCGTTCACATCGTTGTTCTCTATAGGAAATAGGAATAGAAAGTTGCAATGATTTGCGCTACGATACGGTACCTAGAGTTCGTCGCGCGAGACCACATGAAGCTTCGCCACTTCGCTCGCGATCGCGCCGAATAACGAGTCCTCCCTCGTGCTCGGCTGAACATCCTGTCCAAGCTCCCAAATCATCACACCCGCGTACCCCGCGGCGCTCGCTAATCGCACTTTTTCTCGCACGTCGTTCACCGAGTCAAACGCAAACGCGCCGACTCTATTTTCCTTCTCGTCGAACGCTCCCGATGCGTCTCGGCGAATCTCTTCGTACGTTTTCACGTCGCCTAAATTATCGAGCGAACGCGCGTAGAAAGGAATTCCAAGCGTGAGCTTGGAGACGTCGCTGTGCGCCTTGGTGTGTTCAATCACCTCTCTCACGAAGTCCAAACTCGCGTGCCCTGTCGGCGACCTCGAATCGTACGCCATGACGTGAATCCAGTCGGTGACCTGGTCCAACCTAAACGTCTTCAGAGCGTCGAACGTCCCGATCGAGGGATGGATCGCGATGCTCAATCGACGACGACGCCCATCGGTATCGCTCGCGTCGAGCGCGACTCTGGTGGCGAGTAACAGCTCGCGATACGCCCGCCAATCCTCGTCCGAGACCGGGTACTCCCAATCGTACGACACACCGTCGTAATCACCCTCGATCACCGTTCGCACGACCACCGCCGCCAATCGATCGATGCCAATCGATCCCGCGCGCGCCGCTCCGACGAAGCCGGCGCTGCGTCCGCCGCCGCCCACGGCCAAATCCATCGCGCACGTCGACGTCTTCTTCGCCACCGACGCACCGTTCTCCAACCCGTCGCCGCTGGCGTTGGGATAGACGCTGAACGCGATCACGCGCGCGTGCGGTGACGCGCACGCCCCGTCGGCGGCGTCGATGGGGCGATAATCAGGAAGGTAGGCGTGCGCGCTGAACGCATCGCGTGACGCGCGCACGACGCGCGCGAGGACGACGGCGATGGTGCAGAGGACGACGACGCGTTGGGTGCATCGTGGCGTCCATCGAGCGCGGGTCATCGAGCGCGCGTGGGCGTGTGCGGCGCGCGAGGCGTTTGAGCGCGTTTCAACTACCGCCCCTCGTGTCGTACTACAAAGACTTCATCACGATTTACGCGTCGATCGATCACGATTCCATGGCGTCGCCCTGCGCGGCGACGCGAGCGGCCTCTCTCGCGGGCTCGGCGATGTCTTCGGGGACGCGAACGAATTCGCCGTCGCTCGCGTCGCACACCCAGCTCATCTCGCACTCAAACTCCTTGTCCTTGACGTCGTGCGTGGCGTACACGATCCGCGCCAGCTCCTTCACCGCCTCCGCGCACGTGATCTCGTTCAACTTCAATTTTTCAACCTCAGTCTTCGCCGCGTTTTTCCCCTTTCCAATGCACGCCCCGCGCATCTTCGCGCACTCGCCGTTTTGCTCCACCAAGTACAGGTGGTACCCGTCAAAGTCTTTGCAACCGAGCAAGGTCGAGCACCCGAACGGCCGAACGCTCCAGTACAGCGTGAACAAGTGATAGTAATGCGCCATGCGTTCCGCCAACACCTTCCCCGGGATCGCATCGCCGTAGAAGGATTTATAATTCGCGCACTCCGCCCTCGCCCGATCCGCCACCGCCGCGAGATCCGGCGTGTATCCGCTCCCGCCAACACCGGCGTGTCTCGCCACCGCGCGCGTCCGTCGATTCGTTCCGGGTTTATGCAGCTTACTCGGCACCAGCTTCTCGCACGCGATGACGACGCCATCGACGCACTTCACGCCCACGGTCAACCCGCCCGCGTCCACCGCTTTTCCCGCGTACTCCACCTGAAACACCCTCCCATCCGGCGAGTACGTCGTCGTGCTCAGGTCGTACCCGCTCCCGATCCCCGACATCGTCCCAAGACGCCGCGCGCGATCGTTCGCGCGCGAGACCGCGCGCGCGAGCCGCGAAGGTGCCGATCCGAGACGTCGATCGAGATGCGTCGATCGTCCACGAAACCGACGCTCGCGCCTTTCCTTCGAACCGCGTCGCCCGTCACGACGTCGCGTCGCGCCGCGTCGCACCGCGCGGTCGTGTCTTCACGTCGCGGGCGAGCGCGCGAAGGGATGTGCGGCGTCAACGTCATCACGCACTCGCGGTGGAGGCGAGGCGAGAAAAATGAACTCGTCTCCGGCGCGCGGACGCGGCGAGCGACGCGACGAATGGACGCGCGACGCACGCGCGGTGAGGAATCGTGAACGGTACTCTTACGTCTAAATACATCGCGCGTTACCCGTGGAATCGCGGATCGGGCGCGCGAGGATCCGCGCTCGGCGCGCCGGCGACGACGTCCGCCGCCTTGGCCGCGCTCGCGGCGCCGTACCTCTTCGCGTACGGAAGCGTCTTCTCCCCGCGCTCCAACGCCCGGACGTTCTCCTCGAGCACTTCCTTTGGAAATTTACCCACGATGAACCCCTCGCTGTTTCCCCGGGCGTCCAAGAATTCCAAGTGCGGTATTCCGTCCACGCCGTACGCGTCCATCTCCTCCCCCCACCGCGCGTTGTCGATGTTCAACATCACAAAATTCACCCCACGCGCGTGTTCCCGCTCGACGTCGTACACCATCGGCGCGCTCTCCTTGCACACCTCGCACCAATCGGCGTAGAACTCCACCACGGTGGGTTTCCCGCTCTCGAGCGCCGCGTCCAGGGGCGCGCTCGCCGCCTCCAATCGCGCGAGACCCCCCCCCGCCGCGCTCGCCGCCCCCCCCGCGCCCTCGAACGCGGTCCCAGAGGTGAAGACGAACGCACACGCCCCGACCGCGACCGCGCTCACGGCGATGGCGCGATTCCGTCGTCGTTCGGCGTCGATGTCGTCATCGATGCGTGATTCTCCGCGCGCGTCCGCATTCGACCCTCGCGCGCGCTCGGGCGACGCCCGCGTCCGCGGCGACGCGCGCGCGGACGTCCTCGACGGTCGACGCGGTCGAGCGGTCGCGAGCGCGCGCGGCGACGTCGACGTCGCGCGCATCGCGAAGTGTCGCGTCGATGGCGTTCGTTTCACGAGTCGCGACTCGTCAAAGACCCCCTCTGTGGATGATTGATCGTCCACCGCGCCCGCGCATCGCCGCGCCACCGCCCGACGCGCGCCCTCGCGCGCGCGCGAGACCGCGAACGCGCGCGCGAGACGTTCGCCGTCGTCTCCATCGCGCCGTGGCCGCGCGCGCGGTCGCCGAGCGAGGGATTCGCACCTCCGAGGACGATTTAACGGTCAACGAGGACGATCTCGCGCCGGTGACGCGCCATGGCGTCCGCGCGCGCGATCTCGAGCGCGGACGCGGGTGATTCTTCGTCGCGACGCGACGGGCGCGCGGCGGTGGGGACGAGCGAGACGACGTCGATGACGACGCGGTTGATTCGAGGGACGCTGAGCGCGGCGTGCGTGTGCTGCGGAACCGTCGGCGGCGCGGTGGTCGGAGCGATCGCGGGCGCGGCGTCGTCCAGGGGCGTCGTGCGAGGGGCGGTGTGTGGGGCGTACGCGGGGGCGCTGACGCTGTTGGAGACGATGGATTTAGAGGGTGATTACGAAGGGTCTTCTGAGGGGGAGGTTGGACGCGAGGCGAACGCCGAGACGGGCGGCGAGTGGTACGCCGTGCGCGAGGACGCGAGTGACGGGTCGATGCGAATAGTGGCGATGCCGTTCACGCACGCGATGAACTTTACGCAGGTTTTGAGGATGTTGGCGAACGGTGAGGCGGATCGCGGGGCGAGCGCGGTGAAGGTGGCTGAGCTCCCGAGTCGGACGTTTCGTCGATCGGAAGGCGGCGTCGACGCGATCGACGGGATGTGCGCGGTGTGTCTCGACGTCTTCTTGGACGGTGAGATGGTGAAGACGCTACCGTCGTGCGCGCACGAGTTTCACGAGGCGTGCATCGATCGATGGCTGCTTCGTAGGGATTGCTGTCCGATTTGTCGCCGACGCGCGTCGATCGACGTAGATCGAGAGCAGAACGTCGACGGCGATTCCGACTCGAGCGCGTGATTCGATCGTTCCGTAGTTTTCACATCATCGAGTGGGAACGCCCCACTCGTGTTCCTGGCGCATCCGCGCGCTTTTGTTGTACGATACACTGTGTTTGCCGCGATTCACCCGCGTCCTCGGCGCGTCGGCGCGCGACGAGAACGTCTCCCGCACACACCGACGCGCGCTTCGACGCACACCTCTCGATGTCTCAGCAACAACCACCTCAATCGCAATCCCAACACGACGACCCGGACTCGCAACCGATGGACTCACAGCCGACGAGCGTGGCCATGCCAGCCGCGCCGAGTTGGTTGGGCGGCGCCGCGGGCGTGGGATTCCTGGTGACGCGCATCGGCTCCTCTGACGCTAAGGTCGCCGCCGCGGACGCCGCCAAGTTACTGCTCGCGGCGAAAGACCCGTGGCTGAAGTACTCAAAGGAGAAGAACGCGTACGAGGACGTCGTGGCGGTGGAGATTCCGGACGCGGATAACTGCGCGCTCGTCTCGTTGACGCCGGCGCGGCACGAAACCGACGTGAGCCGATTGGGTACGTGGATCATGGAACAACTCTCATCTGGGGCGGATTGGACGAAGGCGGAAGGTGTTCGACCGACGCACGTATCACGAATGATTCCCGTCGAAGGGACGTGCGATGAGCTGGACTTGATCTCGTTGGCGGCGAACGTGGTGCCCAAACATTTGGAGACGATTCGACGCGAAGGATTACGAAGCGCCACGTACGAGGTGATTTACGAAGAGCACAAGCCATCGTTACATTTGCTCCCATCCGTGGTGAACGCTGCGATCGGCGAGTGCCTTCCGGACGGCTACGTGGTCGATCTCAAGTCACCGAGTCACTCGGTCTTGTGTCTCGTGCAAGGAAACACGTGCTTTCTCTCCGTCGTTCACAATTACCGAGACATCGCGAAGCACTTCGCCGTGCACAAGGCGCTTTCGGCCGCTGCTGCGTGATCGTCTCCTTGTCACGCACGTCGAATTCAAGCATACGATGATACCGATACGATCCTGCGACTTTGTAAAATTCCTTCACCGCCGACACGATCGGTGCCAAGTTTTCTCACCAGTGCGACGATAATGATAACTGTACAATTGCAACGCTCTAAGTAACACTACGAAATGTCTAATGGCTTCCTATACCTACAGCTCACTCAAATCACCCTCCGACGCGGAATCGCGCCGACTGTCCGTGCGCATCCTACGCTTCTCGTCTCGAGGACGGTTGAGATCCGGCGACAGGCGCCGGGAAAGAATCGTCAGCGAGCAGAATCCAATTCCGATCGCGATAAATGGCCAAAAGTCTCTACCGAACGTATTCGGACCCATGGAAACCATCATGGCGATCAAAGCGCCTCCGATGAGCGGCGCTACGCCTCGCCCAAAGTTTCCAAACATGCCGCTGAACCCATTGACCGCCCCTAGAGTTTTACGCGGCGACGCGTTGTTTAAGATGAGCGAGCTTCCACCCATGATGATGGGTCCACTCATCCCTCGCGCGATGCCGAGCACGACGATAATCATCCACGCCACTTCCTTGGACTTTTTCAACGCCAAGTGCGCGATCGGATGCAGTGGAAACGTCACGGCGTTCACCAAGAGCGCTTTAGTCAACAGCGAAACGATGCCGTATTTGCGCGTCAAGCGGGTGAACAGGAACACTTGAAAGCTCAGGATGGCGACACCCATGAGGCTACCGAACGCGCCGATTTCGACCGAGGAGAAACTGAGTCCACCGTTGTCGTAAGACGTCGCCATCCACACCGGCGTCATCTCTGCTCCCGTCAACACGACAAAGGTACACCCGACTTGACTCACGATGGCCGCTCGGACGTTTGCGTCGCGCCACCACGGTGACTCGCCCTTCGACACCGTCGCCACGGACCCAACCTCCGACGAACCTTTCTCCGTCGTCTCGTCCGAGGATAAGAGCGCGAGCTCGGCGACGACGCCCTCTTCCACCTCGCCGTTTTCGACTTCTCGATGCTTGTCGATTTCCATCCACCCGACGAACCACATCGCCAGAGGCACCAGACACATCGCGCTCACCCACGCGTTGGCCAGGAAGAACGGACGCGCCTTCAAAAACCCCGGGCACTTTGTCGCGTCGTCCTTGTACACGGCCCAATTTTCACACGGCTCGGCGAGCGCCGCCGCCAACGCCGGGCTAAACGCGCTCGCCACCCCGTACGCCACCCCAGTCGTCGCGAACGCCCGCGCCGCGTTCGTCCCATCGCTCACCAACGCCAGCGCCGGTTTCTGCAGCACCGCCATCCCGTCCACCGCTCCCTGCGCGAGCCGCCACGCGAACGCCCCAGCCGTGTCGCCCGCCGTCGCGAATCCCAGCGTCGCCATCGCGTGCGCCACCGCCGTGCACGCGATCGCCCCCTCGAACGACCACGCGTCGCCCAGGCGTCCCCAGGGATACGCACTGAGCGCGCTCGCCATCGGTTTCGCCGCCGCGAGCGCGCCCGCGCGGAACGCCAGTTCGGATTCGGACGCCTTTTCGTCGAACCGCCGCGCCATGAAGAACCCGATCGCGTACACCGCCGTCGTCGACGCGATCGAGCACATCGCGAAGCACTGCGCGGTGACGATCGTTCGCCAATCCAACGGCGTCTCCGTCGACGACGGGAGGTCGAACACGGCGGCGAAGGAGCGCGCGCGACGCATGACGGGCGCGCGCTGACGTCACGCCCATCGATCGATGCCTTTCGATGTCTGTCGATCGACCCCTTTCGATGCCTTTCGATGCCTTTCGATGCCTGTCGGTCGCCGTCGGTCGACGCCCGTCGAGCATCGATCGACCCCTGTCCGCGGCGCCCCGGTGACGCGGTCGTGGATCGACGTCGACGCCGACGACGGGCGCGGCGATGGAAGCGACGGGCGCGCGCGTGGGCGCGCGCGCGCGCGCGACGGGGCGACGGGGGCGACGGGCGGCGGCGGCGATGGGGACGAAAACGGTCGGCGCGATGGGGACGACGAGTCGACGACGACGGACGCGAGGGACGATGGAGACGCGCGCGAGAGAGGGAAACGCCGAGGTGGACGCGAGTGAGGGGAGCAGGGCGTCGAGCGCGGCGGCGCGGGCGCTGAGACCGAGTTTTTTGGCGGCGCGAAGAGGATCGCGGTTCGCGCATCAAGAATTCGTCCGACTGTGCGCGGACGCGGCGCGACGAGGGACGCTCACCGTCGGGGACGCGCGCGTGGAGGCGGCGCTCATGGGGTTGAGCGCGGAGGCGAGGATGGGGCAGAGTGAGCAGGATGCGTTCGCGAGCGCGGTGGCGATGGTGATATTGACGCTTCGGCGGTTCGACGACGCGTTCGACGCGAGCGCCGAGATCGATCCCGAGGCGCGGGGGATGTTGAAATACATCGAGATGACGAATAAGAACGCGGACGAGGGGCACACGTTGCGTCGCATGGAGCTCGAGCGGAGGTTTTTAAATCCAGAGAGCGCGCGAAGGGCTCCGGCGCCGCACGAGACCATCATGCGTATGAACTGTAAGCTCACGCTCTTGACGCGCGAGATGATCGAGCACGAGCGAGGGATCACGAGTGCGAGACGTGAGCTCGAGGCTTTGAGCGCCTCGGTGTCCACGGAGAGAACGGAGGTGATTGAGATCGAGACAAAGCAGCAGCTCGCGCTCGGGTGGTGCACTCGCGAGCGCACCCCGGCGCGCGCGCTGGCGTCGGACATGCTCGTCGCCTTCTTCAGTGTGCTCACGGGACATCCCGTTGGATATAGGGCGTTCGTTCGCGCCGCGCGCACGGCGTACGAGAGCGGGATCTCGGCCGATGAGATCACCGCCGCGCTCGACGGAGCCGAGTTGGACGTGGAGGGCACGCGTCGGGGCATGTTCGGACGCGCCTCGGACGCGCCAAAGCTCTTCGCCGGATTCGTCTCGACGGCGTACGTTGCGTTCGAGGCGCAAGGTCTGCCCCTTCCGCCAGCCGCGAATGGGGACGAGGATTTATACGCGTACGCCAACTACCCGCGGGCGATCGACGAAACCGGCGTCGAGAGAGAGGAAGAGAGTGACGACAAGAAGCGGGCGTTTTCCCGTGGTTTACGACAGGCTGTCGAACTTTGGCTCACGATGGATCGCGAAGAACTCGCGAACCAGGTTCAGGCATCGCTGTCCATGGATGAGGGCGACGACGATGTCGCGAAGCAGCCGTTTGAAACGGGAACACCGCCGCCGCCGGGAGACGACGAGTCTTTCGGCGTCGTTCGCGATGATTCGCTCAGTAGGTCTTCGATCACGATCGAAACGCTTCGCAATCAGAAGAACATCGTGAGTTTCGTCCGTGACGAGCTCGCGCGCGATGCGAGGTGATCGCGCGCGCAGCGGGGATGATACGACGTCGATTTCTCCAAAGCGGCTTTGTGGAAGTGCCCTCACACCTCGTCCGCTCGCAAAAATGGCCGCGACGATCCCTTTCGAGAGTCTTGGCGATTTCATCACCGCGCTCGCAAAGATGGAGCTATTACACAGCGGCATTGCTCGCATAGATCTCGAACAACAGTCGCGTCTGGACGCGACTGCGCGCGAGAGACCAAAGCTTGAACCGGGCGACGACTTTTTCCTCTCCCCATCGAGCATTCAGTGCGTGAGCAAGCGACACAAGCGTTTCGAGCTGCTCTTTACTGGGTACGAAATTCGGGATCCACATTTCGCGGCCAAGCATGACATGGGCTTCCTCGGAACAGACATAACACTCGGATTCGACGCGTGTCGAGGTACGCAAGCCGTGAATCTATGCGAGGACGTGAAAGACGATCTAGACATCAACGACGCGCACTACGACCAGTGCGTTCGCAAAGCGTGCGAGGTCCTCGCGGAACCGTATCCGGAGAACTGGCGAGTAGATTACGAGGCGTACGTAAAAAATCACTGGTCAAACATGCCGTATCGTTGACCACGCGCGAAACTATGTTCGAGACATCGCGACCTTTAGAGCGTGTCGACCGACCAAAGTGTGAGACAACATTTGATTCTTCGACGAAATCCTCTATAACGCCATCCCGCACGCGTCGCCGACGACGCACACCGTCGCTGCTCGAAGCGACCCGCGTTTCGCGCCCTCACAGCGCGCCATGCCTCGTCGACCGCTCGCGTCTCCGCGCGAGCGCGGCCGGCGTCGATCACCCGTCGCCGGATCACGCGTCATCGCGTTCGTGGCCGCCGTTGCGGTCGCCGCATTCGCCACCGCGCGCGCCGAGGGCACGGGATCGACGTCGAGCGCAACACCCACTCAACGCGTCGCCTCCGCGGACGCCTCCACGACGCGTCTTCGCGCCGATTTCGTCACCGAAGACGTCGCTCGCGCCGTGGATGTCATAGCGTACGAGGGTCCGGCGTACGCGGGGTGTTGTCCGAACGTGGACGGCGAACACTTGGCGTGTTGCGCCGCGGGCGGATGCTGCCCGAACACCGAGCCCGGGGGCGGATACGGGAAACACCTGGCGTGCTGTGAGAGTAAGGGCGGGAGTGAGGCGCATAATCGCGCGGCCTCGAGGGTGTGGTACTCGGGACCGTCCTACGACGGGTGCTGCCCGAACGCGGATGGAGAGAACTTGGCGTGCTGCGGCGAGAGCAAAGGGTGTTGCCCATCGGACGGGAGCGTGCGACTCGGGTGCTGTCCGAGATTAGCTACGGAGGGCGAGGCGGAGGAGACGGTGGAAGACGATGTGTCGGTGGAGGATGCGTACGATGCCGATGATTTGGAGGAGAAGCGCCAAGCGCGCGCTGAGAGGGTGTGGAGACGCGAGAGGAACTGGGACGGAGCAAGCGGCGCTTCCTCGTATGGCGAAAAAGCTGCCGATGAGCGGAACGGTGAGGAAGGCGTCGAGTCGACGATGTATTTACAGCTCGCGGCTGGATTATGCGTCGTCGTGTGGGCCGTTGCGCTCGCGGCGGGGACGTTTTACTCTCGTTCAGATGGGCGTGGCGAAGACGAAGAAGACGCGCGTCTAGTGCCCGCGGACAGGCGGCGACGACGCGCGTACGCCGGTTTCTGAGTTCCCTAGAATAGCTGTGTAGATTGTTGTGTGACTTAATGCTCCTTGAATTACAGGTAGGTTCTAATAGCTGCATGGCGTTCTTATCATGTTTCTCATGCGGTTTGCGCAACCGCGACTTCGACCGCCGCGCGAGAAGCGACGAGGTTTCTGTCGCCGTACACATCGTCTATACGAGAGGTTTGCGGCCAGAACTTGTGCGCGCGAGTCCACGGAGCCGGGAAGGCACCGAGATCGCGCGGGTACGGTCGATCCCATTCCTTGCCGGTGACGGCGGACGCCGTGTGCGGAGCGTGCTTGAGCATGTTGTTCTCCTTGGACATCTTGCCCTCCTCGATGTCCCGGATTTCGCCGCGGATGGCGATGAGAGCGTCGCAGAATCGGTCGAGCTCGGCCTTGGATTCGGACTCGGTCGGCTCGATCATGAGCGTACCGGCGACCGGCCAAGACATGGTCGGGGAGTGGAAACCGTAATCCATCAAACGCTTCGCAATGTCCGCGACTTCAACACCCGTAGCATCCTTGATAGGTCGCATGTCGAGAATGAACTCGTGCGCGCACGTGTTGTTCTTACCGGTGAAAAGAACCGGGTAGTAATCCTCGAGACGCTTGGACATGTAGTTGGCGTTGAGAATGGCACGCTTGGACGCGTTGGTCAAGCCCTCGGAACCCATCATGGAGATGTACGCGTAAGAGATCGGCAAGATCAACGCCGAGCCATATGGCGCGGCGGAGACGGTACCGAACGGCTTATCACCACCCACAGCGATCGCACCGTCCTTCATGGTCGGGTGATCTGGCATGAACGGGGCTAAGTGCGCCTTAACACCGATCGGGCCCATGCCCGGACCGCCACCACCGTGCGGAATGCAGAAAGTCTTGTGCAAGTTCAAGTGGCACACGTCGGCACCGATGAAGCCCGGAGACGTCAAGCCGACTTGAGCGTTCATGTTGGCACCGTCCATGTACACTTGACCGCCATGCTTGTGAATGGTGTCGCAGACTTCCTTGATGGAGTCTTCGTACACGCCGTGCGTGGACGGATACGTAACCATGAGCGCAGCCAAGTTGGCCGAGTGCTTCTCGGCCGCAGCCTTAAGTTCTTCGACGTTGATGTTACCCTTGCTGTCGGTACCGATGACAACAATCTTCATACCGCACATGGCTGCAGACGCCGGGTTGGTACCGTGCGCGGACACCGGGATGATGCACACGTCACGGTGGTCGTCACCGCGAGACTGGTGGTAGGCGCGAATCGCCATCAAACCGGCGTATTCACCCGAGGCACCGGAGTTCGGCTGGAGAGACATAGCGTCGAAGCCAGTGATCTCGCAGAGTTGCATCTCGAGATCACGGAACATCTCTTGGTAGCCAAGGGACTGGTCCTTTGGCGCGAACGGGTGAATGTTCGCGAGCTCTGGCCAGGTGATCGGGATCATCTCCGACGTCGCGTTAAGCTTCATCGTGCACGATCCGAGGGCAATCATGGAGTGCACCAAGGAGAGATCCTTCTCCTCCAAGCGCTTGAGGTAGCGCACCATCTCGTGTTCGCTGTGGTACTGGTTGAAGATTGGGTGCGTCATGTACGAAGACGTACGCTCCATCGGGATTGAAGTGTTGACGCTTGGGGCGATTTGCTCGACGGTCGGCGCGGTAGCACCGCCGGCGAACGCCTTGAAGAGGTCATCGACGTCTTGGATCGTGGTGACTTCATCGAACGCCAAGGAGACGTGATCGGCATCCATCTTACGGATGTTGATGCCCGCGGATTCGCATGCCTTGACGACAGCGTCAGCACCGCTCGGGCACTTCAAAGTGATCGTGTCGAAGAACTCCGGAGTGACGTTCTTGAAACCGAGCTTTTCGGCACCAGCAGCGAAGACACCGGCGAAGTTGTGCGCGCGGGTCGCGATATCCTTCAAGCCCTGCGGGCCGTGGTACACACCATACATGGCAGCCATGTTGGCCAACAAGGCTTGCGCGGTGCAGATGTTGGACGTCGCCTTGTCGCGGCGAATGTGCTGTTCACGCGTTTGCATAGCCATACGAAGCGCTGGATTACCCTCGGAGTCGATCGATTCGCCGATGATACGACCTGGCATGAGACGCTTGTCGTCGTGGTTGGTGGCCAAGAAGGCGGCGTGCGGGCCACCGAAGCCCATCGGCACGCCGAATCGTTGGGAGGAACCGACGACGATGTCGGCACCCCACTCGCCCGGCGGTTGCAACACGGTGAGTGAGAGCAAGTCAGCCGCGGCGACGACGCGGATACCACTGGCGTGCGCCTTGGCAACGATCGGCTTGTAGTCGATGACGGCACCGTTGGTCGCCGGGTATTGCACGAGCACACCGCACACGTCCTTGGCGGTATAATCGAAAGAGTTTTCGTCGCCAACAATCGCTTCGAGGCCCAAGCCCTCGGCGCGAGTCTTGACGACCGAGATCGTTTGCGGGTGGCACTTGTCGGAGACGTAGAACTTCGGCTTCTTACCGCGGTTCAGCGCGGAGCACATCGTCATGGCCTCGGCGGCGGCGGTTCCCTCGTCCAATAGAGAAGAGTTCGAGAGCGGCATGCCGGTCAAATCGGTAATCATCGTTTGGAAGTTCATCAAGGACTCAAGACGACCTTGGGACGCTTCGGCTTGGTACGGAGTGTACTGCGTGTACCAGCCCGGGTTCTCCAAGATATTACGCAAGATCACCGGCGGCACGTGCGTGCCGTGGTACCCGGCACCGATGTACGTCTTGTAAACCTTGTTCTTGCCAGCGATGTCCTTCATCTTCGCGAGGAACTCGCTCTCCGTGAGCGGCTCGGTGTACTTGCCCATGTCCATGAGCTTCGGCAAGCGAATGTTCGTCGGCACCGTGGCGTCGATGAGCGCGTCGATGTTCTCGAATCCCACAACCTTACACATTTCAGCCACTTCTTCCTCCGTACCGCTGTTGTGTCGTCGTTCGAACGTATCCAGCGGCTTCAGAGACGCCGCGCTCACGTTTCGCGCGCTCATCGCGTTCGCGCCCCCTCGCGCGCGCGCCAGCATCGTCGCCGTCGCCGCGCCTTCCCGTCGACCGACACCGCGCGCGACGCCACGCATACCGCGCACCGCGTGCGCGCACCGCACCGGGTCGTTCGCCTCTCGCACCGTCGTGGGCATCGTCGATGCCTCCGTTCGCACCCCCTGGGCGCCAGCCGTCGCCCATCGGCGCGCCGCGTCGACGACGCGTCGTCGAAACATGTCCACCCGAGACGCGACGGCGGTGATGCGGGGAAGACGCGAGGTCGTGCGCGCGCCGAGGTCGGGACGTCGACGGAGCGACGCGCGCGACGGGATGGCGAACGAATGGATTATCCAAAAGACACGAGATCGACGTCGACCGGTGAAATGAGGGGGCCTGAGGCGGATGGGATCGAACGCGCGGACGACGACGGCGACGGAGACGGGAGGGATGGGTGCGCGCGATGGCGACGTGATGTCGATCGCGTGGGAATTACATCGTGGGTTCGACGCGCGAGATGGGACGGCGGCGAGGTGGGGACGTCGGGCGAATGGATATCGCGCGGCGAACGACGGACGTCGCGCGGATGGTTGCGCCGCGAGAGGACGTCGTCGTCGGATGAGGTTCGGTCGACGCACGCGCTCACGGCGGTACCGGGACGCCGTCGAGCTTGGCCTGTAATATTTTATCCACCAGGGTTGGATTCGCGCGGCCACCGCTCGCCTTGAGACAGGCACCGACGAAGAAACCTTTGAG